ACTATTCTGTCAGTAATATTAGGATTTATTTGCTTAGCTTTACCCTACCTCTTTTTTTACCCTGCTTGATTTTGATTTTGATTAAACAGTCAGTTCACTGTCGTAACGACTATACTTCAGCAGCAAGGATCATGATCATTATGTGACCTCTCTTCTCACAGTGAGTTTCACCTTACACCAGGTAATAAATGGCTCCCCCCTTCTCACCTCTACCCATCCTTGTTCTTTACAAGAAGGTTGTTTTTTTTAATTAAAAAAAAAAATGTTTCAGTAGCAGAGCCTTCATGCTTTTACTGTCAGAGTGCCTCTGCTGATACCACGTGGTGCCTGGCTAATGCTGTGCAGTCAATTATGCAGTATCCGGGCAGAGAAGCAATCACAGCACGTATGAACGTAACGTTAAAATAATCACCTGATGTCTCAGCTCGATCCTTACCACTGCTGCTAGTGGGAAAGGGTCTCTGAAAAACAGTCCTGTGCCTTTCTTCATTCTCTGTCTCTTTCCCTGTTTTGTCGTAAAATACTTGCTTTGTGTTAGGCACAATTACAGTCAGGCATATAGAAAGGAGGGGAGGTTGTTAATAACATTCCACTTTATCAACCAGCAGAGCTCTCCCTTTCTGTACACTGAGATTAAATATAGCAGTAGAAAGGCAAGCACAATTACACACACACACTCACACACACTGCCAAGATACGGTTTAGCTATTTTTCTTTTCCTAAAGAGGGCAAGGAAAACTGTTTACCTACTTGGACTAATATCATCTCAAGCTGTAATTGGTCATACCTTTTTAATTTGCATCACCATGGAATGTTCATATAATCAATACAATATGAAGCACCTTCACAATTACATTTTTAATTTAGGAATTTGAAAAACTATTCTGCCTGCTGTTTTCATAACACCAGTACCAAAGCATTACACAATTATGCTTGGGAAGGATGGGAAATATTAAAAAAAATAACACTACACAAAAACTGAGTGATATACCTGTAATTCCTCTGCTCCCACTCCTGACATTTAACACCCTACCCTCTGTAATTTGTGCAGAACACCTCGTCTCTCACTCTCAGGGTCAGAAACTTGAATCTTCAAGCTGCAAAGAAAAGGTTATCACTTCAATTCATTCGTGGGCAAATTGCTCAAACTCAGCTGTCAATCATCGGTCCACTCCAGCATCTGAGCTGATTTGTATCTATCATGGATGTTTACTCGACAGATTCTCACAAGCAAACTGGAGCAGAGAAAACGTGTCTAATGATAGCATCATGCCGACAACATGTTTTCTGCAGATAACATTTGCATTATGTGTTTACTCTTTGCAGAGTATCTGTAAGACTTCAAATGAAAAGGAGGACATAATTCTTTTTCTGAGCACATGTTCTCCACAAAAAAGAAAGCACAACTCCATAAGAAAGCAGTTCAGATGAGGAAGCCTGTATGTAACTTTACCTTTTCTTCTTGCTCTCTTTCTACATTCTCAGGTTTTTTTCATCCTCCTCCATTTCTTTCCCCTGCTTTTTTAATTCCTATTATTCTCTTGCTTTGGAAAAAATATAACCAACAGAAGAAAAAGGCAGATGCACTCAGATCTTACTCTCATAGTTTCATCAATTTATGAATTTTGAATATGAAATAAAGATTGAAACTAATCAACAGATGGTTGGAAACATGAATAATAATGAATTCTGAATCCCTGTATTACTCTGCCAGGTATTGTTTGGATATAAAGAGTATATGTGTAGTCTAATCACCACTTTTGGAAAAGAAAGCTAGCAGTCTCTTTAGGTGTCTCATGTCTGATGGACATTTTGGACAGTAAACCGTGGTACATGCATGTATCCTTTGAAAAGGGAAAAAGAACTAAAACCTGACAAATACCTTTAGGAATTTCTGATGTCCTCTGCTTGAAAATCAACCATCCCAAAACTTAATTTTCATGAGAGGCAGGAACAAAGTATCTTACATATTACTATAACCTAAATATTAATTCATATTTGTACCTCCACAAACCAACGGAAATCTAAGGCACTCACAACAATGAACCAGTAAAGAAATGTGAAATTAAGTATAAATAGTTATTTACCCTCAGGCAGACGTTAACGTCTAGCAGCAATCTGTTTTATATAAGTAATAAACTGCTGCCACCTTCTGAAAAAAGCTCAGCACAACTACAAATGCCATCCATCTTTCTCACAAGGCCAAAGTAATGACATGCATATTCTAAGCCAAGAAAATTAGGCAACAAAACAAATTCTGCTGCAGCATCAATACAAAAAAATCTGCTGCACTTAGACACTCTTGCTCAAGAAGCTAATGTAAAGGTGGCATCAACACTTCCAAACACAAAAGTAAGAATGTCATCCTTATCCCAACTCAGGAAAACATTTTGACATCTACTAACCATCAAACTGTTAAAACTGACACTGAAGCAAGCCAACAGGACAGTGACCTGTTGGACATACCCTTCTTTACCTCTTAAATGCTTATCTGCTTGAAGAAGAATCCACTCTCCTTGGAGACACCTTCCAACCACAGCTTTCTCATTATAAAGCAATAGAAAGTGAACATTTCTCTCAGTGTTTTCTGCAAGAACCTGCTGCTTCAGTGTCACCACCACTGACAATCAGGGACCACCCTTCTGGTAGAACTGGATACAACAAGGGTTGTGGGATGAGCGACCCCCTATGCCCTGTAAAGGGCCCCCCACTAACGAACACTGGCTGTGTGCTGATCCAGAACTGGGAGCTTCTGCTCAAACAGAGTAGTTTCAAATTTTTAGTGACTCTGAGAAGTCATGACCTGGTGCATTTTTTCCCTCTGCCAACTTCAGCCTTCACAATGGTGGAGTGAGCTTTAATTTCATTTACATTCTAGAACCAAAATAGTATCAGAGGGTATGACAGCAGAGCAGCAGCAAACCAGTGTCACTTGTAGCAAATCAGTGCCTTACAGTCAGCATCTCCATACAAATAAATTGATCACCTCTCAAAAATTTCCCTAAAAAATTAAATGATGACATTTTAGCCTGATTTTCAAAGCAAACAAGGATTATACCATTTTATTGTCTAGCTGGTCCATTTTCCCATAACCTTTAAATGTATTGATCATTTTCAACTAAAACTGATCAGAAATTGAAGTCTCAAAAATATAATTTCTAGAAATTTAGAAAATCCACAGAGCATGCAGCCAGAAAAAAAAAAAATCAATCTTCAACAGCTGTACTGCTGACAGGCCAACCTGCTTCAATGACTACAGTCCCGTGATTTGGGAGAGGCGGAGGAGAAATCATAATCCAAACTATAAGCTGCATGTGAATTTTTTGGGCAACACCCAAGGGTCCACAATGGCAGAATAATAAAGTGTATTTGCTTTGGAGGCAATTCTGATTTATGCTGGGAACATGGCCTGAAATAAGACTTTTCCAGTAATTCAATAAATGTAAGAGTCTGTGCCTAAGATGCTTGCAAGAATGAAACTAATATGGAAAGACAGAGCTACCTCTCGGCCCCTTATGACATCCCTTTGTACGCAGCACAAGGCCCATCACCAGCTCTATACATTTACTGTCAAGCTTATATTTCTCAGTGCTAACAGATAGGTTTCAGTGTGCCATTCCATCACTTTGAGGCTTCATATATCTGACGAAGAATAACAAAGCGGTTGCTTTGGAGGATTGCTGATTTTGAGGGATAACACACTTATTAATTTGTGTCACAGAATCAGCCTTAATTTCATGATAAAGCAGAAGTTGTGACAGACATAAAACTGATTCATTTGATTGGAAGCATTTCTCTGAAAGTCATCTAGCAAACATTTAAAAAACTTGCATGGGGATCTCTTCACCAATGTCTTGGGTGGTTAAGATCCCATGTGGGATTTTTTGCTAAAATTGAAGAGGTCACAGCTTTATGTGTTACATTTTTGACTACTAGGCTTTTTTTTTTTCCCTTAATTTCTGACCAGAAATGCTACACCTGGGATGGAACCCTCCACAATTTATGGTTTGTTTGTTTGTTTATTTCCTTCCTCAGGGTCACAGAATCACAAGTGGTTTCAGTGATCACTGGCCCCGATTATTTGCAGGTGTCATCTCCCCTTGTGGAGTCACAGAGTCATAGAAGGCTAAGGGCTGGAAGGGACCTTAAAGATCACCTAGTCCCAACCCCGCCACCATGCGCAGGGGTACCTTCAACTAGACCAGGCTGCTTAAGGCCTTATCCAGCCTGGTCTTGAACACTACCAGGGATGAGGCACCCATAACTTCTTTGGGCAGCCTGTTCCACCATCTAACCACCCTCACAGTAAAATATCTCTTCCGTATATCCAACCTAAATCTCCCTTCTGCCAGTTCGAACCCACCGGTCCTTGTCCTATGGCTCCAGCCCCTGACGGAGTTCGGGGGCGGGGCCGGGGCGGGGCCCGCCGGAGCTGTTCGGGCGGCGGGTGCTGAGCGCGGCCGCGCCGCCTGGTGCAGCCGGGCGGGGCCGGCGCCTCCCGCGCCCGCTCGCTCGGG